TGATCTTTTTCTTGTAAAAAAGACAGCTAGATCAATTATGGCTGCTTGACCACGAGTGTTTCTTTTCAGCATAAATCAAAGATGTAACAATTTTCAAGCATAGAATTTTTTTTTTTTTTTAAGTGCTCAGCTACATAGGGTGAACGGAAGATGCAGATAGACTGAATTTCAGAAGAGGGGGATCTCTGTGTAGTTTACAATCGATTACCTTAACTGTTGGTCAGTAATGCCTTCTGTCATCTACCTTATGTCATTTTGGGGACAGTTGTTCATGTGCACCCGCTGAAGCAGATGTCAGCAGTGGAGTCGTACCAGTTTTTTTCCCAAAATCCAGAGAACGTGCCACTTGTCCAAGCTGCGCAGTGGAGCGCTGTCATGCTCTGTGTCAGCTAGTGGTCACCAAGACTGGTTTTCCACTGAGTATGTCTCATGAATTCAACACTTGCCTTCCTCAGTTTGCCATTTTTAAACTCAGCTGTGTGTTTGCAGATAATTGAAATTTAAAGTATTATCCTGACAAAATTTCATGCAACTTTTTGGTTATATCAGTTTGGACTACCTCAATGTTACCAGCACTGCCAATTGGCAGTAGATGAATATTTTAGAAATTTATTCATTAAAAGATATACTAAATGTACTTCAAGTACCCAGAGGTATTGAGGGGCAGGGAAAGTGTTAGGTCCTTAGTATCAATTCTGTGAGGCTATTTCTAGAAATATTAATCCGTTTTTCTCCTGCTTCATTCCGAATTAGTGCTTCTTTGAATTCATTGCGCTTTTTATTTTTGTGAAGATAACCCCCCGGTCAGTGGCAGAGATTTCTTTCCAAGTCACAGTTTGTAAATTTTAAATGAATATTTGCTCTATTTAAGCTTTCACAATCAAGTGCGTTAAAGTCAACTGTTTCTTGTTGCATTTTACGATTTAGGGTTTGGGGTTTAGTGTGTTTCAAATATATTACTTGAGTTCCCCCACTGAGAACACATCCAAAGTGCCTCGGAGAGGTGACCTGAAGGAATATGCAAGAAAAGAGTTTTTCTTAAAAGGGCTTGCAAATCATAACAGGTGTTTTGTCTTCTATAGTTTCGGAGATCTGAAACCTCTACTGTATTTTCCTAGTATAAGACCTGGTATGGACAAAAACTTTTTTTAACAAAAGATCTGTTTTTCTGCCTGAGTGAAATAAGGGGGGGTGGGTTTTTTTGTTGTTGGCTTTTTTTTTTTTTTGGTTGGTTTCTGTGGGTTTTTTGTTTGTTTTTGGAGATTTTTTTTAGATTTGTTAGGACTGAGTGAAACTTTTCTATCACCCTTCTTCATGAAATAATGGACTTTGCCATTAAAAGTGTCTGCTCTCCTTTAATCCAAATGTGATTTATTTTGGCACAGAGCTAGGAAATATTCTGTTTTCCATGTGTTTTGGATGCCAAAAAAAGCTTCTAAGTTTTGGGTTACACAAAGTAGAAATGAGTCTTTTGGTGGAATTCCCCCAAATGGAAGAGGACGTTGGACATTCATTTTCTGAGTTCTAAATTTTATATAGATTTGAATAAAAATTGCCTGCCCTTTCAATTAATCGCAATTTTCCTGCTTGGTATTTGTGATAGCCCACTAGTTCTTTGGGAAGCCTGGGGTAAAGAGAAGAGAAAAGATCTGGCGGCAGGGGACAAAAAGCCACCGAAAATTCCTCCCATGAAACGTCTTTCATTTCATTTGTTAAAATGAATGTTTGTTCAAGAGGAAGATTCAGACAGATCTAGATTTAAATAACACAGGACAGTGACAAAAAGTGAACCATCTTGGAAAATGACTTTGAATTTCCCGGCTTTTGTCAGATTTGTCACAGCCTTATCGTTTGCGAGGTGTTTTTTTTTTTTTTTTAGTTTTTTTTTGCCTGTGGAATCCTTCTGGCTAGTACACTAAAACTAGGACTGTTCAAAGTATCACATTTTCATCTTAGTACTTATCTCCCTGATCTTAGAGATGAAAACATACCCCATAGTGTGTTAGATGTAAAAGCCATATGTAGGTGATGATATAGATGGTTATTAAGGGAGTTGATATAGTTAGCAACAGAGACATTGTATCTAGTCGCTCTTTTTTTTCCTTTTTCTCTTGTAATTGGCTACGAGTGGCTCTAGATACCCAAGGAGGGGCTTTTTCTACTACTTCATCGTAAGCTACCTGCTACTCAGTTTATATTTTCTTTGTTTCTTCTCTTCTTTCTTAACACATTTTCCTTTTGACTGTGGATGGAGTGAGGCATGCCACCTTTTGAGACCTCCCCCTTCCCCATAATTTCTTTTTTAATCCTTTAGGGTTTCTCAAAAAGGTCATGTCCTAGGAGGGCACAATCGCCCCCGCTGTCAGACCTCCCAGCTGTGAGCCAAACACCAGAATTTTTCTCCCGTTGTTTTTGGAGGCAAAACAATTATCGGTAATAACTAGACTGTGTTGTTTGGTGTGTCGTTGTACTAATTTCTTGTGTCCCTTTTCCCGCAGATCCTGACTGGGCCAGCTTGAATCTGGGCGCTCTCATGTGTATCGAATGCTCAGGTATACACCGAAACCTCGGCACGCACCTCTCCCGGGTCCGCTCCCTGGACCTGGACGATTGGCCTATAGAGCTCATCAAGGTCATGTCATCAATTGGGAATGAGCTGGCAAACAGCGTCTGGGAGGAGAGCAGCCAAGGCCATATGAAACCTTCATCAGACTCCACAAGGTAGGCGCCTCGCTCTGTCAGGCCGTGACACTGGGCGGTCGTTGGGCCACGCTGAGCACATCGCTTTGGCGTTTCCATCAGAGCTGGTAGGACGTAAGAGCGTTTTACAAGGCAGGCTTTTACAATTCTACCTTCAAGGACCTCTTAAAAAAAAAAAATCATGAGGTGTATATATCTCCTTGCTGCGCACCCAGGAGGAACGTGTGTCAAAGAAGGTATGTGTCAGAAGTGACACTGATATTTTTCCTCTGTTTAGGAAGGTTTCCTCAGCAGCTCCGGGATTTTTTTGTTCAGTCGCTTGACCCGCAGACCAGCGGGAGGTTGAAACCTCCCGCCTGGCTAGTCCGCAATCTAAATTATACCGTAATACGGCTCTTTGTTTCGTTAAGCCACTAAGTCCCTGGCTCTTGGGCAACCAGTTTGTGATTAATAATCTGCCGTCAGGAGTTTTAATGCACCCTGGCCGCTGCTGTGTAATTCGTACCTGACCGTCAGGCCTCTGTGTTCTCATCGCGGCTGTCTTGAAAGTCCTGCTCGGTACAGGCTTGCTTACTTGCTTTATGTGATATATGGCAAGGCATGAGTTGATGGGGGAGTGCGTTTCCTATGAGGAGAACAGTATTTTTACCTCCTAGTCATAGCTAAGCACTGTGAAAATCTTCTTTCTGTGATATGTTACCCAAAGCTAAGGGGTTTAGGGGGTTTATATGCTTAATTTTTCTGATCAGCATTGAAGGAGGAAGATGCTTCAGAAATACTTTCCCGATGACAGTGGATTTTTAAAAGTAAATACTAATAGTTATAACTAACACAGTGGCTCAGGGGAAATGGTATGACCTCTAGCAGTCTCTGTTTCAGCAGAAGGGGGTTCAGATATGAGGAAGACCTTGTGGACTGCCTTGCCCAGCTGGGCCAATCTTTTAAGTTGGCTTCAGAAGTGTGCTATAATGATCTTAGGGCGAGCTCCAGGGGGCTAGCCTGCGCCTGAGCGCCGTTCCATCTTCAGGTAGGCGACATTAGGCTGGAGGTTCAGCTCTCAAGTGTTTGCCTCCTCCATACATAAGAGAAATCGAACCACGGAGACTGTATTATTATTGCATGAACACGTGTACTTCATCTCTGGATCCGACTTTTTCCAATACTTTGTCAAGTGAAAATATAACTAGGGAGGGTATACCTGGGCCACCTCCTGCAGAAGAGGAGTAGGTTTGCACTGTGGTCTGTAATAACATCAACTGTTTCTTATTGCATTATTTCGTTAGCCCTGAAAAATGAATTTGTGGTGCCACCTTTGGTTCATCTTCGAGAATGAAGCCAGTACATTAATCAGGCTACTTAGATGAATGGCTATGCATATAAATATGTTCAGGCAGACCTACATAGAGATTTTGTGCATATATAAGCTATATCTACTGTATACATGTGTACCGTTATACAGCTAACGTAATGATTTCATCAGTTAGATTGAAATTTAATTATTGTTGCCTTTCAGTCATCAATTTTACTGTATATTTAACCCAGAGATCTTATATTGTTGCACCTGTGTTGCTCCTTACTACTGATGTGAGCTAGAACGATGTATCCGTTCTAAATATTTAAAAGAAAAAGGTATGCACTCAAGTAGGTTTTTTTATATATTAGAATTTATGTAATAATTTAAACATTATCATGGTAAACCTAAAATAGGAGTGATTAATGAAAAGAGGGCCACCCATTTGAAGTAAATAATTATGTTCTTCATGTTTGGAAGTAGAGTTTGCTTATGGAAAACTTTTTCTCTTTGTATTCCATGCTCAGAGCTTAGTTTAATTCTTTGTTTCTCTACATGTTTACACTTGGCTGCGTAGTTTTCCCCGTTCATGTTTGTCAGTGACATAATTGCACTTTTTTCCTGAAGTATAACATTTTTGGATATAAGCTATAAAAGTGCATTTTTTAAATATTCATTTCAAGCTGCGTGTCCAGGTGTACACTTACGGGATGGAAGAGCAAATAGAAAAAAATATAATTAAGATTACAGGAAAAATTTCTCACAAAGCGATTTTCATCTTGCTTTCCTACTCCATTTTTTTCTGCAATTGGGAGCAGTAGCCCAAGTGATATTTTTTTCACATAAATATCTGAAAGCTCTGCTTTTTCAAAGACAGTGCCTCCAGTTGTACTTTACTTTGGTCTCTGCTAGCATCATTATCTTTCTATCCAAGCTGTGGCAGGAAAATAAGTTTGAGCTCAATAGATGGAACGAGTTGCGCGTTCAATTTTCGTGCTGTTTCGAGTTGTGCATGAGGAATGCAATCAGGAGCAGGTGTAACAGACTTGAAGGAGAGGTTTAAGAAAAAGAGGGGGAGACTGAGGAAGAGGCAAGAAAGTAAGCAAGTAGAAACATGCATGGGGAGCTGAAACTTGGCGATGCAATGGAAGAGGGTTTGAGGGAGCGCTAGGAGAGATGGAGACCAGCTGGAAGGCTGAAGCGTTCAGCAAGGCCCCTTCTGCTGGGGAAGAGAGCGGACACTTGGTGAGTCGGTGCGCCCCAAAAGGGGAGTGTCCCTGCCCATGCTGGCAAGCCCTGGGACCAGCTAGTGTTTGAGAGCTAACCTCAATTGTTCTTCATTAGCTCAGTTAACTTAATCGTTGATATCTCCATTCCCTTCTACAGCCCCGCTTATTACATCTGTCTCTCACAGTATTCCCCAGCTCTTCAGCTGCACTGTGTGTACTCCTTAAACCACCTTTCCAGAATTTTCCATATACTCACTCAAACTTTCAAGCCATGCCTAAAAAACAAGGTATAGGAAACACAGGAACCGAAGATTTCTTCACCATTCCCCTACCAGATTCAAAGGTCTTAACAGAGCATCAAAGACCTTAGGCAAATACAGTCTCCGCGTGTCTCTTAAGCTATCTCTCTCCATCCCCCCACACCCCCAAAATAACCATCATCCGTTGTCAGCAAAATGATGGGCTCTCTGTTAATAGAACCTTGTAGAGGGAATGAGCCATATGAGGGCTTCACCATGTCATGTTGCATCTTTCTACTAGAGCTGAAGCCATCATGAAGCCCACAGGCTTTCAGGGGCCAAGTAGTGCTGACTGCTCTACAAATATCGAGTTCCTGGGGCTAGGAAGCTCAAGGAACACATGCTGGACTAACAGGAACCTGGCTTCAAAAGCAGTGCCTTCAGCTTGGGAAAAATTGGCCTTGAGTCCCTGCAGTGGAATCCCATGCATTTCTGTGCAGCCAAGGGATGGGTGGAGAGACTCTGAGAGACTTTTTGCAGGAGGGCTTGCCAAATGGCTAAATGTAGGCTATGGCGTAGTTAAGGAGTGTTACTCAGGAAAATGTCGCTGGTATTTATAAAAATGGACCTAAGCCAGGCTCTGAGTCCAGCTTGCGTTTTTAAATTCGTACATTCAAAAATAAGTTAAACCAATGTCAAAATTAAAATATATCCGGCATGCCGGAACTGCAGTCCTTTCCCGGTCCCCTCAGTTCACTTAAAACTCTTTCTCTGAGAAAGTCATGGGGAAAGATAACCCTGACAACGTATTTTGAAGGTCAAAAAGACTGCCAGGTTGGAGTGCATGAACTCAAAGCCTGAGGCTTCTTGAAGCAAAGGGCTTTGCTCCTGCTACTTCCGTCAAGGGCGTCGCCCAGGCATGTCCTCTCACATGAACGTGCGTGCGTGGGATCTCGTGGAGGCTGAGAGGCAGTTTGTAAGGTAAGCAGGGCTCCAGGTCGTTTGGTGCCTCTGGAGCAAAAGCAACACCGCGGGTCGCGAAGAGGATTGAACTGGAAGCCGGCGGGTATTCTGGGAGCACAGGTGCAACGCGATCCCAGAAGGAAGCAGCAGAAAGGGAGAGTTTGAATCGCTGGCGTGGTGACGGCACGGCAAGGGGGACAAGCACGAGCTCCTGGCGAGCGTGAAAAGTTGGCGTGGCGGCAGACAAAAGCCCAAGTGGGCTAGAGTATGGGCACGGAGAAGGGAGAGGGCAACAGCTGGCCTCTGCTTGTTGTCCGTGGGCCCCTGATTAGGTCAGCTTTAGAGGGCTGGTAATTGGTTCCAGCAATTATCCACAGCCCTGAGAACCGCCGCTCAAACTTCTCCAGCTTTGTGACAAATTGAAGCTGACTGCTGGTGAAGGAGTATCGACTTCCCATTTCTAAACAGGGGCATCATTAGTCAAGAAAAGCATCTTTTAATTACTTGCAGGAAGAAAAAAAAAAAAAGAGAAAAAAAAAGATCTTTTGGTATGGATCTTGCCAACAACTGCCGCCTATTTTTTTTCTTTTTTGCCCTCTAAGTATATTCAATATTAAACTTATTGTCTTGTGCGGGGTGGGGGGACAAAAGGGGGAGTTTGCCCTCAGTCCCTCCTTCAGTAATATGGCTTTAATTTGGAGTGAGAAGTCAAATTAGAGTAAATCAATGTTGCCACAGTTAACTGGGTCTGGGGTTGAAATCAGGATTTTTACCCTCTAATTGCTATCGATACTATTTAAGCACACTCTTAAAACATTGATTTTGAGCGGTGCGATACCAGAGTGGTCTGAAGAGCGGCACCGGGGCAGAATTTGCTCAATAAAGGAATGTTAGAGATGCGCTGAACTGTCGAGTCTGGCGGCCAGCGCTCGGGCAACCTGGGCCACGTTTCGCCTGGGCTTTTCACACCAGTAGGTATTTATAGAATATAGTTACAGCTGTAGATTTCCGGCCAAGTATTTAGCTTTTTTTTGAACACACGTGCTTTTCGTGCTTTTTTCGTGCTTTTTTTTTTTCTTTTTTTAATCCAGGACCGCTTTTGCAGCAATGTTTTTCGTTCTTTCACTGAAGTGATGCAGAATATTTGCCTTAGCTGCGTGCAAGCCTAAAAGTTGAAGGGCTCCACAGTTTCCACATCTTTTTGAGAATATTCATGAAAAAAAAAAAAACCCAACTCCTTCAAAAATGTGTTCCAAAAGTGAGGAATGAGTGGTTAGTGAAAGCTCGGCTGCTTGCTGC